AACATTTTGTATGAAAAATTGAAAATCAGTTCCAAAGCTGATTCACCTTGGGAGGTACTTTGGCCTATAGTTTCCCCTCCCCAAATATTTCTTTAATGAAGTCATATGATTGAGACTGGGATGTTTTTAGCAGCAACATTAAAGAAACCATGTACCTCCTTGAATTTGTGTTCTCACATTTAGCAGAATTGGCAGGGACTAAAAGTAAGTTACCTATTTAAATACTGATAGAGTTATTGTAAGGGATAGAAAGTATTTTGATGGTGACTTTGTAGAGGTAATGTTGAGGTAACTGGCTGTGATCCTCCAATGTATCCACTGAAGTTATATTTAGCAAAACAAGGAAAGACCTGTAAATAAAAGCAGTCCTATTAAGAGTAGCTATAGGAAGACTGATTGAAGTCCTAAATAAAAAAAATAAAAAAGAAATAAAAAGAAAATAAAAAAGGAGTTGATTAAGAAATCTTTTTTAGATCATTATCAAAAATTATATATGAGTTCTAAAGTACAGGTTTTAGATATAGACAATTATTTAAAAGATGCTAATTTTCCTAAACTAACAGAAGATCAGAAACAAGAAATTAACGGTCTGATTACTAGTGAGGAAATTGAGACAGTAATTAAAGAATTAAAATTAGGTAAAGCACCGGGTACGGATGGATTGACATCTATTTATTATAAAACTTTGGTACAAGAGATGATTCAACCTTTAAGGGAGCTTTTTAATAATATATTACAGGGTTCAGAGATCCCCCCGTCATGGGGCAGAGCTTTTATATCCTTGATTCCAAAAGAAGATCAAGATCTCACTTTACCAAAGAATTATAGACCTATATCTCTTTTAAATGTAGATTATAAGATTTTTTCAAAAATTTTAGCTAATAGACTCATGAGGGTCCTGCATCATGTAATACATATGGATCAAACGGGTTTTATAACTGGAAGATATATGAAGAATAATGTTAGACAAATTATTAATTTATTAGAATATTTAGATAAAAACAATCAAATTTCTGCAGGATTGATATTTTTAGATGCTGAAAAAGCTTTTGACCAGCTGAACTGGCAATTTATGTTAAGATTAATTGAGAAAATGAATTTTGGAGAAAAAATTTTACAAGCTCTTTGTGTTATTTATCAAAAGCAAACGGCACAACTTATAGTTAATGGGGGTTTGTCAGAGATGTTTTCAATAGAGAAGGGGACTAGACAGGGTTGTCCATTGTCACCATTGCTGTTTGTTCTAACTTTGGAAATTTTGTTGATTAAAATTCGAGAATCACAGCAAATAAAAGGAATAGAAGTTAACAAAAAAGAATATAAATTAAGGGCTTTTGCAGATGATTTGGTTGTTACTTTATCTCAACCTACTTATTCTGTAATAGAGTTATTACAATTGATACATCAGTATGGACAGGTTTCGGGTTTTAAAATTAACAATAATAAGACTAAAATATTGCCTAAAAATATGACTAATTTGGATAAGGAGACCTTGGTTAGGTTGACAGATTTTGAGGTTGTTAACAAGGTAAAATATCTGGGGGTTACTTTATCTGTTTCTAACGCCAAATTGTATAAAAATAATTATGAAAGGTTGTGGGTCAAAATACAAAGAGATTTGGAAAATTGGGAGAAGCTGCAATTATCTCTTTTGGGGAGAATTGCGGTGATTAAAATGAATGTTTTGCCAAAGTTTCTTTTTTTATTTCAAATGATACCCATTTTAAAGAATGAGGTTAATTTAAATGAATGGCAGAAAGGTATCAATAAATTTATCTGGGCAGGGAAAAAACCAAGAGTAAAACTTAAAATTATACAAGATATTCGTGAGAGGAGTGGACTCAAGGTACTGAATTTGAAATTTTATTATGATGCTGTGGCTTTAACATTAATTAGTGATTGGGTTAATTTAACAAATGTAGAAGTACTCATCTTAGAGGGTTGGGATTTGCTTTTCGGATGGCATGCCTATTTAATTTTCAATAAAAAGGTTGACAGGGTTTTTAAATCTCATATTATAAGGACTTCTTTACTTTGGGTTTGGAAGAAATATTATAGAAATGATTTTAAAATTCCATTATGGGCTATACCATGGCATGCGACAGAAGGGATAAGGAGAGGAATCAAGATGGATAGTGTTTCTTATGCACAATTACTTAGATGGGATGGTAAAAATTGGCAATTAAAATCTCTGGAAGATTTAACACAAGAAAATATTATTTATTCATGGTTTCAGTATAGACAAATAGTAGAGAGGTGGAAGATAGATCGTAATTTGGGTTTGCTTAGAGAAGATGAGAATTTGTTAAAACAAATAAAAGATCAAAGACGAACTCACATTAAGAGAATTTACGGGGTGTTAGTAGAGTTGGATTCAGAAGCAGAATTAGTTAAAGAATGTATGGTTAAATGGGCACAAAACTTTGAGGAACCGGTTTTATTAGATACCTGGGAGATTATTTGGGTGAGGAATGTTAAATTTACACAAGCCCAAAATTTAAGGGAAAACTTTTATAAAATGTTTTATAGATGGCACCTTGATCCACAAAAAAATGTCTCGTATGTATCCTGACTTGCAGCCTAAATGTTGGAGATGTGGACGTTTGGATGCTACTTATTACCATATCTGGTGGTTATGTAAAAATATAAAAGCTTTTTGTATTAAAATATGGTGGAATATTGAAAGAATTTTCAGAGGAAGGATAAAATTTACCCCACAATTGTTTTTGTTAGGTATTGTTTCTGATTGTGACAGTAAAGAGATTATATTGATGTTAAATTTAATTACAGCGGCCAGGTTGTTAGTAGGGCAATGTTGGAAGAAGGAATCTTTGCCTACATTGCAAGAATGGTTTTTTAAAGTTTCTTATTTGGCAGAAATGGCAAAGATTTCGGCTTTCTTGAAAGATCAATTGCAGGAGAAGTATCTCCTGGTATGGAAAAGATGGATAGATTTCATATAATATAAGTTGGATTTAAAAAAATATTACTTAGTTTTTGAATAATTTATAATTAAAGTTTAAGATATTTCTTAGATATTTTCTTTTATTTTTATTTTTTTTATTTTTTCTTTTTCTGTTTTTTTCTTTTCTTTCTTCTTGTATTTTTTATATATTGTTGTTAATTATTTTATAATTTGTTTAATTAATGTATTTAGATTTGTTTATGGTTTATAAGTGTTTCAAGATTTTTTTTTTAATTTTTTTTAATTAAGCCTGTATTCAGCTCTGGGAAGATTGGGGGAGGGTAGGGGAGGGGTGGGAGGGTGTGGGGGAGGGGAATCTTTTCTTTTTGTAAAACCTAAAAATTTTCAATAAAAAAAAAATAAAATAAAAAATAAGAAAGTTATATGCTCCAGAAAGAAAAAAGGAAGGGAGGGAGGAAGGAAGGAACTTTTCCTATAGAAAAGAGGCTAAAGAGGATTACCAGAATTCCAATATAGCAGGGGTCCCCAATTCCTGGGGTGCAGTGCACTAATGGGCCATGGCCTATTTGGAACTGGGCTAAGCGAATGGTTGGCCAGAGCACATGAACATACATGCAACTCAACTTGTGCAAGGAGCAGGCTGGTGAGCACTCATGTGTGTGTACACCGGCCTGCCACTTGCGCAGCCCAGTTCCCTTTTTCCCCTCCCCAGCCAGGCCGCCAAGCCACAAAGGTTGGGGACCACTGCAATATGAGGGAAAATAGAACAGAGAGAAAGGAAGAGGAAGTGAATTGTTTGCTATCTTTACTCTCTCTAAAAGTCAATATGATAAAAAGCGCAAGGAGCTGAGGAAACAATCAATGAGATTTGCGCCCAATGCAGTGCAACTGCTTCTCAAAGAGAAAGATCCTGGTCCAGAAGTTTCCATTTATTATGAACTCATTATCAGTCGCTTGGCCTACTGAGCAATACTGTATACGTGGATACTTTTAGAAGTAGTACTGTTTAACTGTGGAATGAGACCGATTCAATTAGAATCAGACTCCCTGTGATTCATTCACTATAATTTGTCCAAAAGGTGTATGATGGAACATTCTGAGAAACATTTCATGTATTTGCATGACTTCTATGCAGCTACTTTTTGCTAGCTCTGTAGAGAATCTCAAGGGCAACTAAACGAGGACTATTGCTGGAAAGCTGGTCTGGCTAAAAATTTTGAAAGGTGCAATCTCAGTAGATGTTATTCTTCCTCTTCTTGCATTTTATATGCTTGAGGATGGCACATTGCCTATCCAGGCTGTTGAAACTAAGTACAGGTAGTCGTTAACGCAGGTCCACAACTGGGACAGGAATTATGGTAAGTCATTGCAGTCACCCAACGGAGCAAACCCATTTTTTAAATTGTGACTGCTGGTCATAAAATGCAAACCAGTTGTCAAATGCAGTTGTGTGACCTGGGAGGGGGTGTGCGGTGCAACAGTTTATGATGGCCCCAAGTGCTTTATGGACCACAAGAACCCTTTCCGAAGCCATTGTAACTTTGAACAATTGTTAAATGACGAATCATCAGCTGAGACTACAAGCTGCACAGTGCTTGGTGAAACTATTCAAAGGTGGCTACTACAACATGTGCAAAAATTGTGTTGAGCCTGAGGAAAGGAGAAAGCAATAGGAAAAGATTCAGTCTAATTTCTTCCTCATAGGGATCATTTTTATTTTTATTTTTTTATTTTTAAATAAATTTTATTTGAAATAAACATATGCATTAAATGCAATATATAGAGAAAGCTTGAACAGTAATGGAATCACCATGGCAATAGAGGATTTTTCTTCTTATTTTATATAGCCAAATATGCATATACCCAACCTAACATATCATTTAAGGATATACCTGGCTTCTTGTAGAAATACTTAATTCTAAATAGATAAATAAAACTTTTACAACAAAGAAAACAAAATTAGTATTATATGTCTACTTGGCATATTAAAGGCAATTCATAAGAGATAGAATTACAATTCTATTTAGCCAATTTGATTTAATTTAGCTTTTTTTGAAAATGATTTGCTTTTTTCTTTTAAAGAGCACTGATACCAGTACATTAAAACCAATAGATCTTTAAGATAAATTTTAACCTGAGGAAGAAATAAAATAAATTCAAATTGAGGATTTTGAAGGAATTGCTTATTTTATGACACTTCCAAAAATGTACATTAAAAGAACACAAAGTACTATAAGTTTTGTTTAGATCTAATAGAATTATGCTGAGAATTATAAGCGTCATGCCAGTAAATAAAATGCATTAATTTATTTGTTTATTATTATTAATCTTATTGGTTTCACCTTACTCCAAAGCAACTCTGTGTGGCAATTTTTAGAGGAGAGTTAAAGGATTTTAAATAAAGTATTGGAATAGAAAATAAAATATTTTAGGAAACTGAAATAAGGTTTATTGGGAATCAAGATAAGAAATCAACAAATATTAACTATGCAAGCTATAAATACCTTATTTTACTAAAGGGATTCACGCATCCTGTTAGAGCAAATTTTCTTTAAACTATAGTTTGATGAATAAACCATCATATCCTGCTGACACAATGTTGAGCCGTAAACTGTGTATTATAAAGCACAGTTTTATGGAGCCATATATCACATTAAGATAAATTCAAATAAACCACATTGATCTTAGCTCCCTTTGTGAAATCTAACTCTATCAAAGCTTGACAAACATTATTGTTCTGTTGAGATAAACTTAACAGACAGAAGAGTAAAATGCAGCAAAAGATTAATTCACACTTCTCCTCACAAAGCAATATAATTGAAGAATCCCAGAAAGTTATTCCCTGTGATACGAAAAGAGATTTGTTAGTTATTCAACTTTACCTCATTCCTCTTCATTCTTTGTTGTTTGCTGTTGTCTTTCATCTTCCTCTGTTTATTTGGAGGATTAAACTGGGTAATTTCTTTAACTTGCAAGTTGTCAGAAATAGGATTCCTATCCCCATATTTTGTTCAGGATTGAGCAGATCAATCTAAACTTGGTCCATTGCTAGTGTCAAGTTTGATTTCTATTATTTATTGTAAATATATATCAGCTTTTTGTAACAGTAGCATGTTCCTGAAACCCAAATTAGTTTCTCATTGTGCTGCATAACACTAGCAACCCCTTTCTCTTACTCCACTCGATGTATAATTCTGTGAAGAAAAATAAATGAAAATTAATATGACTTCAGGGTTTATGTTGTAAACACTAACAATAATGTCTATATGACTTTTACTCACATATTTTAAACAGACAATTTCATGATTAATTTTCAATTTAAGGCTCAAACCAAGGATTTTTCTTTTAAATCTATTGCTTCAACACAACACTGGTGGTTTCAACTTTTCCTGTTTTTAAACCAATGTTGGACTTACTTGTTCATATCAATAATGATTGTAATGCAAATAATATTGAATATATATCATTATACACACAATTAGATAGTTATTGGTACCTTGGAACTCCTGGTAAGAACCTGGTTCCAATTATAGTTGGAATACCAATACTGACAGGGCAAGCCACTAGAATATAAACTGAGAACAAATCTCTCTCCTTCCCCCCCCCCATATATTTTATTGATTTTTTAAAAATATAAATCACGTAATAGTTGGTAAACAGTATGTTTGCTGGGTTTACATTTGTAAAGAAAAATCATTAACAATTGGTTTCTATAATCCATAATCCACAGAGTACATTTAGTTGATTTCCCCCTTTTCCCAAAATGTCTTCTTTGCAAACCTTGAAATAATACAGTTCTTATTATTTTCATAAATAACAGTTACATATATGATTTTTTCCCAATATTCCTAGAAATAATGATTACATCAATATAATATTTCTTTTCTATCTAATCATTCTGGTTGCCCCATCTTATATCCTGTTACAGTCCTTATTTAGATTTGTTTCTCCCATAAAGTTCAAAGTATTCTTACTGGTTAAGATTTTCTCAACAGTTAATTACATTTAAAGATTTAAATCCATTTTTCCTATATAAATCATTTCAACAGTTTTACATTTCTTAAAGATAGGTAAAAACAGTAAAGAAAAGGAAAAGGAAACAAGAGTAAAGAAACATAAAAAGTAAAATACTACTTAAAATATATATTCCTCCTAAGCTAATATATATTCATTCCCAAAATTTCTTATTCTTTTTAACCATAATTAAAAATATATTTACTTTAAATATTCCATTTAATGTGTCTAGTCATCTAATCCTTTAACTCTTATTTAAAACATTTTTTTCTTTTTTATACATTTTATACATTTATACATTGATTGACGAGGTCCAGGAGCCGAGTACAGACATTGACCAGTCCTATAAAGGACACTCCCATTGACTGGCGTTAAGCCCTGATCATGTCGGTAGTTTCCGACGAAAGCTTGCATTATATTAAACGTTTCTAGTTTTAAAATTTTTCCTGGTGTTCAGGTTTGTTTGTTTCTCGTAGTATTATAATTTCCCTAAATTCAAACACATTTAATTATCTAAAAAATTTCCTTCATCTAAGCCATTTCAACAATATTATATTACTCATATCAAGAAATAAAATAAAAAGAGAAAAAAAGCATACAGTATTATTTAAGGAATTCATCTCTCTTAGAATGACATATGTATTCAGAATCTTTTCTATTTCTTTAACCATATTCAAACAAATGTTTCTTTTTTAAATGTTCTCTCTGGTAGATCCATCATCTATTTTCTTAATTTTTTACTTTGATCTTTTTCCTTTGACCAATATTTTTCTTGATCAATGTATTTTGCTGAACCAAAAAGGTTTTCCCATATATTCATGACTGTTGCTGTAGATATAAGAAGTAAATTGAATAAAGTGTCTTTATATGAGGCTTTTGCCTTTCCTTGTTTCTTGAAAATCTTTTTCTTTTTCTCCTTCTTTGCTTCTCTTTTCACTTCCTTTCTCTCTGATGTTTTCAACATCTCTACATTCCATTTTATCCAATCCGTTTTTTTGTCCTCAGATTTATTTTGTAGTCTTAAGGGATGAGTTGTTTTTTCCATTTCTTGTAAATTTTTCCCACTAGAATTAAATCATGTTTTCCTGCTTCATTAAATTCCATCTTTGAGTCTCTATTTTTAATTTTATGTCCACTTATTTGTTTTGTCTGCTCCTTGTTGTTGTTTCCTGGAATTTTTTTTTTTTGTTGTTGTAGAGTTAACTTATAAATAGATTGATTTATATTTTTAAAGTTATTTTGGATTTCTTTGTGATTTGAACTCAGTGTTATTTGAATTAATTATAGTATACTATATATCTCCTCTTGAGAGGTATTTATGTTTTCTTGGTGTGTTCTATCTACATGTATCTGATCCATGATGGCCAAAAGTTGAAGTTCTCCTTCTTATCTGCAAATAGCTTTAGAGTCCCAGTTAAATAGATATTTGTAATCCAAAGAGTTCAAAAAAGATTTTTTCCCCTAAAGTTTATAATTCTATATTTGTCTGCAGCACAGATTTGTTCTTTGTTATTAAAGCTTTGAAGGTCACAAACACAGATTAGCTTTTCCCAGATTTTGGCAAGTTCTCTATGGAAATCATAACTGTTATAATCTTCATCCACCACTAGGTGTCAGCATCTATTTAGTTTTCAATATGAACAATGGTCTTTAAAATGAGAATCTTAACCATTCAATAATTTTAAACTTGTCAAAAGTTAAATTTTAGCTTTCAAGTTTATAAATTTATTTTACTACTATATATTTTGATCCTCCATGGAAATTTTAATTCACTATTTCTGTTAGTATAAGGGTGGGGCAGAAATCCCCCTCCTTCACTTTTGGAGGTATTTTGCTTCTTGGGGATCTTTTCCAGGAAATTAAGTGTGGAATGGAAAAGGGAAAATCAGATTCCTCACCCAGTTTCAAGCATGCTGTTTACTGTTGTGCTGGCTAGTTCTTTTGGACTTCAGTTGCAAGTAGCTTGGGCTGATTGGTGAAATACAGCCTTTCTCCTGTCGGGTTAGAAGGCTTTCCCCAGGATGAACGGAGTGACCGCTGTCATTCCAGAATCACTGGGGCACCCTTCATTCTTTGCTGCCTCTCCGGGATGGCTTGGACCCATTAGGGTCTCCAGGCAGGATGGAAATTAGCCACGGGGATGTGGCGGTCTGCAAGCCCGCGATCAGTCGCTACCGTGCAGGACTGGAAGTCATCCCATTCCTTACTAGTACTGTTGATGTTACTTAGTTTGGCTAATGAAACATCTGCAAGAAAACAACCAAGCTGAGAGAGCACCAAAGATCCCTCCTAGTTGGAATAAAGTATACTTTCAGCATGTAAAAGTGTTGGACACAAATGTTTATATTTGGTAAGAAATTAAAGCTGTACCAAGGTCTCATGAGAAATTTACACTTGAAAGTAGTTCTTCTTGGGTTAAAAAAATGGGATAAATGATTTTTAATCAAAAATAAGAGCAACTTACTGGTTAATATTTAGAAATTTAATGAAAACTTGGTTATTTTAACAAGGGATTTGGGGATTGAAATATGGATAATATATGTAAGGATATACATGTGCATACTGCTATTGAAGTAGTTTTTATTGTGCTTTTGATATTGTTCTTTGTATAATTTATTATATACTGCTTTTAAAAGCTTTTTAAAGACTTCCAGAAAAGTACAAAAATAATATTATCTGCACCAAACAGCTGATGTAAAGCATTTGTTACATTATGCATTTGATTTAGGCATTTTAGTTACCTCTGAAAATTTGACAGTTTTGAATGCACTGAGAATGTTTTTATAGAGACTGATCAACAATTCAATATTATCAACAGTTTAGAAAGTATATTAACATAAATTTGGACAATATACTATATAAAAAAATCCTATATCATCAAATGGTTCCAACTTTTAAGAAACATTAAGTACAATTATTATCATTTAAAAACTAGGATAATCCAATACATATATTTTTGGAATCTATAGAATTCCCTAATGGATGTTTAAGAAAGTTGCCTGTTGTCCTTTGAAGATATGGCTAAGGATAGTCACTAGTTTAAACCAGGAAAGCTTAAATTGATCACAGCCTTAGAGGGTGGCAGAGGTCGTTATATATGGGCACATCTGGAGATAACCATGACATGTGGAAGATTGGTAATCACAAATGAAATGACATTGTGCATATCAAAATGTGCAACATTCTGCATAAATGTGACCTTCTGGAAAATAATTCTTTTCTATGCCTTGAATAAATGAATGGGAATGAAACAAGAGAGTAGAACAGTTATTGAGCAATATAAAGATGCAAAATGAATGTGAATGGTGCCTGCATATGATTAGAATGTTGGTTTGTTTTCAAACAATGGTCTATTGACATGTACACAACATAAATGAATGAATTTATATCTAAGAGATTTGATTTTTTTATTATGAAATATTGACACAAGGGTGGTGGAAGATATTGAATGTGGAACAAAATCTTTTTTGGTGATATTAAGAGTAGATGTTGGGGGAAATGGACTTGGGTAAAAACCAAAGGAGTAAAAGAAAACAGAATGAAAGAAAAAAAGGATGAGTTCATGTGAAAAAAGAATGAGAAAATAGATTATTTGTGCAGCTGGATGAATGAAATGTGGGCATAAAGATAAAGGACATGGAAGTTGCATGGACCGAAGTGGAAAAAAAAACACCATTACAGAGTGCTATATAGCTGTGTGAGGTTACACTAATGAGAAACATGTAGAAAGATTCTTGGTGGAAAGATGAAGTGAAAAATACTATGCATGAGAAAAACATTTTTGCTGCAAAAACTGAGGATGAAAAATATTCAGTCCATATATAGAGAAAGAGATAGTTGCAAAGAATGCAATGAAAGAGAACAAGGAAACATGGTAAAAAAAAGAAACAGGAAAGGCAGAGAGTTGTTGAGAGAAATAAAAAAATATTTTGGATGGAAGTGATTAGGACTAAACAAACAGATTAAATTGAATTAAAAATAAATCTTCTGAAAACATTTGGAATAAAACTGAAATGAAAGAAAACTGGGCAGAGTATTTTAGAGATTTATATAGGAATGAACTGAACTGCTAACCTGAAATAAAGACTTTGAATGTTAATGTCCAAGAGAAAAAGAAAAGTAAGAAACACACTGTAAAAGTTGAAAAAAAACCCTGAAGTTATAAATGCCATAACTACACAATGTTAAAATATGGATAAATTTCATTCTGCATGAGAGTTAAGACGTGTGTGGAGATTTTATCTGTAACAGTTGATGGGAATAATGTTGATGTTGTGAATAGTTTTATTTCTCCCTAGTTCAAAGAAAAAGATGTCAATAGAGAATACAGGGACATTTGTTGGTTAAGAATGTTTGGAAAGTCTTTAGCATAATTGTGATTGAAAGGGTCCAAAAGGTGAAAGTCAACCATAATTCAGGAAGTGGCATGTAAGACAAGGAATGTGATCCTCATTGTTTGTTCAATGTATTTATGGTTAAAATATAAAATTATATTTGAAATGTGTTGCCGAAGCTTTATGGATATGCACTTTTGTGTATGAAAATAACTTGTCCTCTAAGAATCAAAATGATTTGGGACAAATATTAGATTGCATAATGCAAAGAGAAGTATGAAACTTCATATTACTACATCATAGGTCAACGTACTTATGTTTGGCAGAGAAAATAAAATGAATGATTGCAAATTATATATATGGTCAAAACCGAAAAGAAGTAAATGAATTTGTGTGCCTTAGTAAAATGTTTGCAAAAGCTCACAAAAAGGATGAAGAAATATTAAGATATGCAAATGCTGACTGAAGAAAATAGGTGGTCTGTGCATGCTGCAAAGCAAAACAGTAGCTTCAAAGATAATTTGCATCATAATGTTGCTGGGTTACATAGTAGAGCATAGGATCATTCTTACAAAAGGAGATAATGGGTAGCTGCAGTTCAGAGCTTTATCCTATCTTCAGGTGTGTGATGTTTTGTAATTGGTCACACAAGAGCCAGGCTGGTGTAGTAGTTAAGGCATCAGACTAGAAATTTGGACAGCTGGGATTCTAGCCCCATTTAGCCAAAAAGTCTCTCTCTCTCTCTCTCTCTCTCTCTCTCTCTCTCTCTCTCTCTCTCTCTCTCTCTCTCTCTCTCTCTCTCTCTCTCTCGCCAATAGGCATTCACCAAAAGTCAAGACTGACTTGAAGGCATCATAAATAAATAAATAATATCAATAATTTTCTCAACCATGCTATATTCTGGAGGTGCCATTCTTCATTCTCAAGCTATCATATTCAGAAGAAGTGAATCTTTCTTTTACCTCATTATCAGGTAGAAAAATCTGTTATATTCAGGAGGGGTCATCGCTTGTTCCTTAAGAAATCTCTTCCTCAGCCTTTCTGCCTGAAATTTGAAACAATTTAATGAATTACTGATCTCAGTGCATTGTATCTTAAACAACAGTTTAAAGGCATTTAAAAAATACAGATTTGAAAGGAACATAGCTTTTCCCTCAGACTGATATCTATAAATTATGGGTTCATTCCTACATAAGTTTTAGATTTCTTGCAAATCAACAAAAGGTTTACAGCCACTGGTACTTTTACTACAATAGATGATGGGAAATAAAATACCTATTTGCTCTAAAACGCTCCAAATTCAGGAGTAACACAAGGTGGATGGGGCCCTTTTTATAGCTCTACATAAGCCATCAGAATGTTATTGGATAGTTTCTGCACTTTCCCAGAAGCTAACCTTTCAGAAGCAGCATGTTGGTTCAACTATTTCAATACTGCCTAAAATGAGATAGGAATCCTGGGATTATCCAAATATTGCTGAACTACATCTCTCAACACTCTGTACCATTTACTATGCTAGAAGAGGCCGCTGAAACTGCAGTTCAGCAGTACCTGTTAAGATTATAATGATTAGCAACAGTCTCCTGAGTTTCAGAAATATTTTTTTCCTGTCTTACTTGGAATTTGGTATTATCATAAATATTTTTCTACAAAGCTACAACTCTTCCTTATGAATATTTTAAAACAATAACATAAATCACTAATAAAAAACTATGCTTCTATCATAATTAACAATATTGTCATTAACACTTAATATCCTTGGTCTTAAAAACAGCAGGAAGAAACGGTTGCTTTCTGATCTATCAACATGATGCAATGTTGACTCAGCTAATAAATTAGGTGTATATATAGCTCTAAATGAAACACCCATCATAGCATACAAGTTAGAAAGAAGGAACACCCACAGGAGATTTTGCAATGAATGTTGGAAGATAGATTTCTTTTCAAAGTGTAGGATACATCTGTCGGTAATAATTCAGCAATTATGAGGGCTAAAATAATCAGTCATTTTGCTGGAGAGCATAAATTGATGACTGCACAAGAAAGGAAGTTATTCCACTCCTTGATCATTCAATGCTTAAATAAATAAGCAAATTAAGTAACATACATTTCAAGGATGTATTTTGAATTATAATTGCATAAGAAATGCAATATAAAGCCTTACTTGCATAATCCCGATAACTACATGGATAAATTTATATTGTTTCCTTTTTGAAGTTTTTTTTTTAAAAAAATATTAGAATAGTGAAATACAAAGGAAAACGTCTACAAGAATAAAAAAGAGAGAGAAACAACTGCTAAACATAAATAAAAACATTTTGGGAAAGCTTTCTAGTGACAAATGCTACTCTTTCCAGTTGATGCTGTTTCCTTGGCAATAATATGGAAGTGATGCTTCCATTGTCCTTTTATCAGAATCCTCCCTCGCACAACTTCCCAATCTGTTCTACAGTCTTGGGATTTTCTAGTGGATTGATCCCACATATCTTTTTTAATATTAATCAAAGTGGACCTATATTTATATGTAAATCCTGTGTTTATTGATATTTACTCCATTATAATCTGAGCATCAGACTGTATCATTCTAAATTTGCCTTATTGTGGGAAAAAGAATGAAAAGGGAGTAGTGATGATAGAATCTAATTTTAGTCATATTTAAAGACAACCCACTGAAATTAATAGGGTTGAAGTTAATCATTACTAATTTAAGTTCCATTAAATCACTGGGAGTTAAATTAGTTAATATAAATTTATGTTCCCGGGATTTTGATGTATTTACTTTAATCATGGCTAAAGCTGGGTTGACTTTGGTGGAGTCAACAGAGTTTTCATCATTTATGAATCTGAGCTCTTAATACCATATGAGTTTCTTTTTGATAGATCATTTTTATTCTTACTATTCACTAAAGAATCTTACAAAGCTGCCAAAATAAGGCTCTGAAAACTGCTAAAAAGGCAAGAAAGTAAAATGTAATTTTCTGCACTTGTCTCCATCAATGTAATCCAGACACATATCTTCGTCTTCTTAAACCTCTTTAGAGGTTGCCTTATAAGTTTTTCTCTTATGTCAGGGTATTGCTATTACATTTAAACTTATTTTTCCTGCAAGGTCTGATACAGATCCAGAACTGTCAGTGGTGTTTCAATCTGTCTTGTAAAATTAGATCTGCCTTCATTTTCCTCTGAAAGCGCCAGAGCTCAATAGAAGAGCACCTGGTGCTTGGCACCTAGATAATCTCAGATGGAATACTTGTGTAGCTCTTGTTTTAATGCCCAAAGTGTTCTGAGTTCAATGAATGGACACTTCCAGACACTTCAGATGTGCCCTATTTAAATAAGGTTCCTAAGCATGTTTCTGATTCATGGGGTTCATATATCTATGTTATGGGGCGATGTCATTGGGAAACATTGAAATAGTTTCTCATTTTAAAGACTTCTTATAAAAATGAATGAATTTGCAATATATCTGTGTAATATCTGTGTAATAAGAGATAAAAATGGATCAAACCAACTTCTCTGAGGTCCTTCAGTTTGAAGATCACCTATGTTTGTGGGTAAAAGCTACTGGTAAGTTAGGTCTATTTGCTGCCATCCCCCATATACACACATACTATAAACCCATTTCTCCCTTCCCCACCAGTCCTCTGGAGAATCAGGAAAGAATTGAAGGGGAAATTCTCATCTTAGCCCAATTCTGGATAAATACAAAACAGGAAATCAAAACTTGTGGAAGCTCAGGTAAGCTAGAAGGCAAAACTGTTCAATTCCAGGAGTGAAGCAAAATCAACTTTATGAAAGGCACCAAAAGAAAATAAATTTCTGAGCACGCAATGCACAGCTTAACTACAAATAACCTTAACACAGTCCTAAGTATAGCTAAATTATTTTCTGTCTTGCCTGATGTGGATGTGTGGTGGTGACATCCTGTGTGGTTTTTGTGAGTGTGGGTCTGGTGTCATTTTTTGTGTTGGGGAGTCATTTGTCAATAAGGGCGGGTTTCCAAATGGCTGGTAGGCAGGAGGTATCATCTCGTTTGTTCATGCTGTGTGGGCGTTTTTCTATCTCGATGGCTTCTCTGATTATTCTGTTATTAAAATGTTCAGTTTTGGCGATAGTTCTGGTATTTTTAAAGTCAATTTCATGTCCTGTGGCTTTAAGGTGTTGGACCAGGGAAGATGTTGGTTCCTCAAGAACATAAGAACTCAGTCAAAAAAGAGGAACCAACATCTTCCCTGATCCAACCCACACTCATAAAACCACACAGGATGTCACCACCACACATCCACACAAAAAGCAAACCCAAAGCCACACTGATGATGAGACACAACCACAAACCAGAAGCCAGACCACAGCTGCATCATTAGCCACTTTAAACCCCTCCAATCCATACATGAAGCAAACTGACACCCACCATGAAGGTGAGGCACGACCACGAACGCGAAGGCCAAAAAATAGCAAGGCAGCCCACCATCTTAAACCCCCCTGCAACTCAGACTAACCTGAGCACAACAAAGCCCCACCCAAACAGAACACTCCCCCAGCCAATCAGAGCACAGCCAACCCCACCAGCCAATCAGAGCACAGTCAAGCCCCTAACCAATCAGAACACACCTCCACCCAATCAGAACACAGCCAAGCTCCCACCCAATCAGTTCATACACCCACTGGCAGTTAAAAGGAAGAAACAGCTAAGACCACACATTGCTCCTCAAAGCACAAAGCTGAAAACACCAGCCTGAAGATGACGAATGGGACTTCGTCAAAACGTCACCAAGACACTTCCAATTTTAAGCGGGAGAAAACCCGAATAACCAAAGACCTACATACAAATACCCGCGAAAACCTCAGAACACACACACACACACGCACACACACGCACACACACATATGTGTGTGTGTGTGTGTGTGTGAACCACCATGAAATCTATCAGTTGTAGGCTCTATACTATAGTTGCATTTGTTCTGACCCACTTGACAGAGATGCTCAAAGGATAGACTCAAACCAGATATTCAGGGAACTGAATTATCCACCCAATGAGATAATTAAACAATCAACAGAGCCAGAACTACTAGGGTGTACTTATTAAAAGATGTACCACAAAACAGGGCAAAAGAACTATTGGTTCTCAAGATTCTCAAGCTGGTTTTCAGTTCTGTTGATTTTCCCATTAATTAGCTCAATAATTCACCCATTATTAATAATCTACAACCCATTCTTGACAATGACACTGCATTGTCTCTGGCACTGGGTGGCAGGCCCATCACCTGTATGGTGATATATGTCATCTCCAGAAATGCCTCTTTGGATTCCATGTTGGAGAAACAGTTCATATTTTGCTCAGAATAATTACTGGACACAAGTTTGAGTTCAAGGCTCAAAACAATGAGGATCAATGGACTTCGATAGCACTATGATAAACATTGAAGGCCATCTGCTAAGAGTTTAGTAGGCTTCCTTGTTCAGTTGCTTGTCCAATTTAAGAACAGATCACTGGACTGGATGAACTGGGGTCCAATCTAGTAGGTACACTTATGTTCTTAAGGATAAAGTAATACTGTATCAGAGCATTTCAATTCTCATGCAGTTCTCAGAGCAGCCATCTTGGAAAGAAACAAAACTGAGTAAAAAAAATTGCTGAACTCATACATCTAAATCTTCCAATAAACACAATAGGTTTTTAACTAGCAGATAAGGTACTGGTAATCTGATTCATAGATAACCTATTTTTACATAAACATCCTGCCTTCTATCTTCCCCTCCTCCCTTATTCCTTCATCTGAATTTAAACTCTACATTTGTCTAGCCATTCCACTGCTTCGGATGAAGTGAGCTGTAGCTTATACAAACATATGCCTTTAATAAAATTTGTTAATCACAAAAAGTACTAACAGATTTCTTCTGACACTTGGCATCTCTGAAGATGCTATTTCCTCTATTTCTAAATCCTTCCAATTACACATCTGTACAATATATTTGGAACTCTAGGAAATATGTTTTCAACATTTTGAATATGCGTTTTTCCCACCTGCTCCCAAAAGCCATTG